GCCATGGGATCTGCATGTGACGTCATCTGTTCCATGAATTTGAATGCGGCCTCCGGGTCTCGGAACGAATGAGGTGATCCATCTTCCGTCTGGAATCGAAGAATCGCTGGGTAAGCCAAGGTGAATCTGACTCTTTTTTGGTACAAAAGAGAGCAGACTTTGTTGAACATTTTGCGTTTTCTTGTAACCTCCGCAGAATAGTCCGCGAAGATTAGGAGGCGATGGCCGTCCAGGTATAGCTCTTTTTTGGCGCGAAAGGCCTGCATAACCACCAGACGATCAGTGTAATCCAAATATCTTACTATCACCGGGCGCGGACCCTTCCTGTCCGGGTTGGGGGGCCCCACTCGGTGAGCACGTTCCACTTTGCACCCTGGGTCCAGTCCGAGGAGATCCGGTATATTAATGGCACAGATAGATGCCAGCAACGATGGTCGATAGGACTCTGGAAGGCCTACGATCCGTACGTTGTTCCGTCGTGAGCGGTTTTCCAGGTCGTCGACTTTGTCTAGGAGCTGTTGGACCTGCTTGTCGGTGGACTGTCGATGTGTCAACGATGAGTCCGCTCCTTCCTCCAGGGACGCTATGCGTGATTCCGCCTCTGTAATCCTGTTCGCATGATGCATTAGATCTTGGCGTAGAGATTGTATTCCCTTATGAACCGCTTTGGTTACGGCATCCTGGATGGTGGGGCGAAGTAATTTGGCTACTTCTGCCGCAATTATACTGTGATCAGACAGTGCAGGCATGTCTTCTTCCGAGGAGGCGCTGGCATCCTGAAGCTCAGGAGTGGCTGCCATCTTATGTTGGGTCAGAGGCCGCTTACCCCGGACTGGAGTGCCTTTTCCCCGCGGTCCTGTGCGCCGTTTAGCGAGAAATTTGTCCATGCTCCTGGTATTATAGAAGGTAGTGTAAGTAGTCGGTTGACTATTTCGGGTTGTGGTGTGCCGTGGCACGATTTTATATAAAGATTATCCTTGGCCGCGCGGGAGCTCTACACTCTGCGTCTGCTACATCGGGCGCCGGAACCGGAAGTCTATTCCTTACTCTTGCTATTAGACCTTTCTGCTGCTTTTGACACTGTTGACCACCTGCTCCTCCTCAAAAAACTCCACTCGCTTGGCCTACAAGACTCTGCTCTCTCATGGTTCTCCCCCTACCTATCTAAGCGCTCCTTTAGTGTCACCTACAAATCTAACTCCTCCCTTCCTCTTCCTTTAGGGGTCCCTCAAGGCTCTGTCCTTGGACCCCTTCTCTTCTCTATCTACACCTCCTCCCTTGGTCAGTTAATAACCTCACATGGCTTCCAATACCACCTCTATGCCAATGACACTCAAATCTATCTTTCTACTCCACAACTCACCCCCTCAGTGTCCTTGTGTGCCACTAATCTACTAACTGACATATTAGTCTGGATGTCACAACACTTTTTAAAACTCAACCTTTCAAAAACTGAGCTCAAAATATTTCCTCTCGCCCATGAACCTTCCCCAAACTTTTCCCTTGAGATTGTTAACACAACTATCCAGCCCTCCCCCTGTGCCAAGGTCCTAGGTGTCATCCTTGACTAGGACCTCACCTTTCGTCCCCACATCCAATCACTATCCAAATCCTGCCGTCTTCACCTTCGTAACATCTCCAAAATACGCCCCTCCCTCACCAATGAAACCGCAAAATTACTCATTCACTCACTTGTTATTTCTCGTCTTGACTATTGCAACTCCATCCTCATTGGCCTACCTCTATACAGGCTATCCCCCTTGAGTCTATCATGAATGCAGCTTCTAGACACATTCACCTAACCAAATGCTCAGTGTCTGCAACCCCCCTCTGGCGATCCCTCCACTGGCTTCCAATAGCCCATAGGATACAATTCAAAATATTAACAACCACTTACAAAGCCATCTACAACTCAGCCACTGGCTATATCTCAAACCTGGTTTCAGAGCATCACCCGAACCATCCCCTCCGCTCTTCAAAAGACATCCTGTTTTCCAGCTTCCTCATCAACTCCTCCCAAGCTCGCCTCCAGAAATTCACTAGAGTCTCTCCCATCCTATGGAACTCTCTACCCCAACCTGTCCATCTATCTCCCACTCTGACTGCCTTTAGGCGATCCCTTAAGACTCACCTCTTCAGGGAAGCCTATCCCTCCTTACCATCTTGTCTTGAATTGTATTGTGATTGTAATGTCTTCCTTATATTGTAAAGCGCTGTGCAAACTGTTGGAGCTATATAAATCCTGTATAATAATAATAATAATCCGTGTATACTTTGGTATCTGCCTTTTACCCCTGCTGTTTTTTGTATCGGTACAGTCCTCTCTAGACCATCCCATCCTCCCTTCTCACTTCCTCTTTCTGCATCATCCCTCACTGAGGAAAGAGGGTCTCTGTTTAACCTGTTAATGGCAAAGATGGGAATGTCTTTTCACTCTAAGAATGACAAGGAATCACATCCTCTGTATTGAGAAGGCAAATAAACTACATTGGATTCTACTCTGAGTCTTCTTATGGAGTTGAATACTATCTTTGAATATCACCAAGTTAGTAGGTTGTCATACTATCCGTACAGATGTGTCTCAGAAAGGTATGTGGAAATACATAAAGTGGTGGTTGTAACAGAATATAGCCCCTTGGAGTGGCTATTTAAATATAGTGTTGCTAGCACTGTAATCAGTCTGGATGATTTGTAATCTGGTATCATTTGGTCATTTCTAGGTGCTCAGCTATGCGATTGCACCTACCTGTAGTGGGGTGTGACCCTAAATATTAGGAGTGTCTATGCCTCACCAGCCAATCACTAGGAGTTCCATGGCCAGTGGTGCATACTGGGGAAGTGTATAAATACTCAGGAATTGCCATGTGCTCTGTTCAGTCTGTGGGTGGCATGTACAAGGTTGGAGATGCTTACTTGGCATTAAGCCTGCATGAGGCCATATGTGGAGCCAGGTGGCGTCTGGAACTATCTGGAAAGAAGAACCAGAGGAGAACCATGACTGCTGGAGGTGCCAGGAAGGCAGCACAACTAAAGTATTCCTGCACTTTGGAAGCTTGAAGAGACTGGTAAATCTGGAGTCTATTTTGCTATGGATGTCTGAAGCCCTATTAGGGTTGCAACCTTTTCTTTAAGTGAAACCCAAACACACAAGCACCGCAATTGTTTTTTTGCGAGAATATAGAGGAGAAAGTGAGGAGAGGCAGCCACAGGAGGTAGTAAGGAGACCGGATATAGAGGATTACAAATACGAGCAATACAAAATAATATGAATCTACATATGCTGTGTTGTTCTGGGACGACGCCCTGATGTTGCGATGGTTGTAAGGTACTTAAAAAAAACGTACGATCTGCCTATCTTGCATAGGCAGATCGTACTTGCGATGATCGCAAGCCATGCCCCCTGAGGGGCGGGCTTCCGATGACCGCAATGCCGAACGGGCAGTGTGCGCTTGCGCACACCGGCCCGTACTGCTTTTATCGTACGGACATGCCACAAACCCGCCGAACATCGTACGATGCTCGGCGGGTTTTCAAACATATCCGTAAGTTTACAGTAGTAGAGGTCGCACGGCTTCCACACACCTTACGATAATCGTACGATCGCGGGATTTCCCGCCATTATCGTAAGGTGTGTGGAGACCTTCAGGTGGGCAATGCTGACTCTAAGGTGGGCTGTGCAGGCTTTCAGGTGGCTATGCAGGCTTTTCTGTGCGGTGTCCCACCAGGGGTCCGGAGGCAGGCAGCGTGACAGAGGAGGAGATGTGCGGGCCAGCTTGTGCCTGCTTGAGCCTGCGGCTCACAGGAAGATGGAGCTTCAGGCGCATGTGGCTGGCTGACATCCCGTGCTTGGTGGGGACCTCGGCAGCCGCATCTGTCTGCACTTAGTGTCTTGTGTCCGGGTGTCAGCTGGCTGGAAACCCGGGCGCAAAACTCAAAAAACGTACTGTCCGGGTGAATCCCAGACATGTGGCAAACCTAAGCCCTATACCCACTCTCCCAGTTTGGCTGTTCTATAATAAAGCATCTAAAAAGTAAAGGCCCCCAATTTACTGTTCACATCCCACAACCCGGCTAAGGATCCAACCCTGAGAGGGAAATGTCCGCCCTCTCTGCCTTTGTGGTCCTCTTCAGGCCTTCAGGGGTCAGGGGGGGTGCTACCCATTTATTTATTTTTTTATTTATCATTTATTTTTTTTAGTGAATACACAACAGATAAAAGGTAAAAGTTAGTTGCCTGATATTCTGCTTTAGGATAGAACTGTGTTGACTGTTATGTTAGGCACAATGATGCATGTGTATCAATGGATGTATAATTATATACATTTTTGTCTTGCAGCACAATTCATTTACTTTTCCTCTATACAGCATATTTATCTCATTCGCAATCTACCACCCAAACATCTCATGATTGGACCTCATAAAAAAAAAAAAATATATTTTTTATTTTCCAAATTCATGCATTTGTTATCAAAACACCATGTGACTAAGGAATGTGAATGTACAATTTGTCCCAGCATTAGAGCACTCAGCCACCTGATTTGTGCTATGGGTTATTGCATGCATTTGCTCTTGATACTCTGACATTATTTTAGGTGTGGAATGGAAAAAATACTAATTTCAAACCTTTATTGTGCACATTTTCTAAATGCAGCAGGTTAGCACTTAATAAAGAGATAGTTTGTGAACACATCACAGTAAATTTACAGTGAATGGTTATTTCCAGTCCTACCAGCTCAGGGGACAGAGTAGATAATGTCCAAATTCCAATAACAAAACAGTAGAGAACTGATCTATGAGTAAACTATTTAACACACACACACACACATGCAGTAAATAATTGGTAATATGTGCAATACAAGATATTTACTTACCAACAGACTTGTCATTGAAGATTTTTGGAAAGGCTCTATTGGGGTATTTTCCTTTGAGCTGCCATACATCAAAGAATGGCTTCCAGTCAATGTACTGACTTAGTCTCTCCAAGTCATACTTTCTAAAAACCTGTGTTCCTGTCAGCTTCGGTTTTACTGCATAAAGCAAAAAGAATTGTAAAAATTTTGAATGACTTAATATTATCAAGGTAAAACAGAATCAGAAGTAGCTGAACCACATTTGATCACACTTCCTAAATTCCTAAATTGTGGCGACAGATTTTTAATAATTTACAACCAAAAGGTATTACTGAAATCTCA